CTTTCCCCTGATAAGCCATGTGTGCTATAAATGACATAACATGACACCGAGGTGAGAAATGTTGAGGGGAGAGCAGTGGGACTTTCCCCTTTGTTCTCCCTGCTGGGCCCTGAGGGTCAAAATTATAAAAGAAATACTATCTCTGTGGGGCTGGGTATCACGGAGGTGAGACATTTTCAGGGAAGGGCAGGGCAGACTCCTCTTTGGTTTTTATTGTGGGCTAGATACAGGTGGGGGCAGCCATCATGAGGGTTGAACGTCAGTATTAATGTGTCTGATTACTTCCCTGCTGGATTATAAAGGTCTTAAATTTTATAACATGCTACCCAGATTGGTTATTACCCATGGATTATATTAGCCGTTGTAGTGTGGGTTTTGTAGGAGTTAAGTGGTCTCACGTTTGCTACAGTAGATAACCTCTAATATATTACTGCATTTGATCAGCTTCGTCTACTTAAACTCTAAACGCAAACGGTATTACTAACAGTATTTTTATTTAGAAATTTCGGCCACATATTTATATTATCCACGAAACTGTCAATAACTGTATAAGGATCTTCAATTCCTAAGAGTTCAAGTTTTTTAACATATTTTTCCTTTTCCGCGGGTGCGGTTCTTTACATACAGTGAACGCGTCCAGCGCTGGTGAACACGTCCAGCGCTGGCGAACAGCTGACTGTGTTTACGTCTGATGTACACCACTGTGGCGGCGGGCGTAGGTATCACGTGATTTAGGTCACGTGTTTGCAAGGACTCTATATATACGAGCCGGCCCGCGGCATAACATACGCCGCTATTTAGTTGTTGTTTTTTCTACGTTTCAGTAATTCATAATTTGTTAATTCGACAGTACCAACGCTGACACTGAAAATATTTCTTTAAAACACTAAACCCCCCCTTTCCCCCCCCCCCCCCCCCCCCAATGTGAAAGCAGCCTCCTCTTAGTTACCTCCTCTAAGTTTAAAATCGTTTCAAACTAAATTATCTGCCCCTAATAGCCGTCACCAAACCCGTCCCTATGATTGTAAAATGTAAACAGCGTGAACCACAGCTCACCAGACCATGTGAGGGGGTGGGGGTGGTAGCGATAGAGAGGAAAAGAGGGGACTGTAAGGCGAGGTTGCAGCTTGTTTTCTAACGGCTCCCAGAAGAGAATTATATATATATATATATATATATATATATATATATATATATATATATATATAATTTTTATATATCTGTTGATAAAACCGGCTTGGATAAGTTCACAATCAACTTCACCATCTAACTACAGTTGTTACATCATTGTATCTATCCCATACAAGTGATTTGATCAAGCATTGGACCATTGACATTGACATGCACAATGAATTGTCATACAGCATATCAAGACATGAATGTCTAATCAAGGCAACCACAGTTCGCCCAGAGAGCAGGGTACAAGCGTTGTAAAAACTGTTGAACAATAAAGTTTAGGATAAAAATATTTTTCTTCTGTTCGATTGATGTTTATAAAGCCAGTATGGGTTTTTAGCACTACGTTTATTTTTGTTACCCACACGCAAGATTCTGTATGGGAAAAACTAAACGTTTTTCAAACATGTTTGACGCGTGGTTTTGGTTTTGTTGTTGTTATTGGTTGTCTTGTTGGCAAAAAGGGGCGGACGTTTATGTGGGCCAATAGGGTCGGCTCTTTTGTGTGGGCCAATAGGGCCGGCATCGTCTATATTACCACAAAGATTCCCACCACACATATTTCTTTTATTTTACAGTTTTGTACAATACAGATCTGGTTCAGTTTTCGCGTCAGTTCTACATTGGCAATAATTAATAGAAAGAAAAAAAAGGGGGATAATCAATCAGGTGACCTAATTTGTATTTGTTTTACTACGAAAAAATACCTACGGGCTACATGGGAAGGATCTTGAGGGCCCTAGAATAAGTGCTCAAAAATAAGTATATTTTATAAAAAATGCAGTAAGTTATTTCACTTTTTGTTCTTTTTAACAAAATTTCAGAACACGATAGAATGTGAACAAAAAATAGCGTTTTTAGCGGGTGTAATGCCAACGAATTTATCCTTCATGACCTAATGTATAACTTGGTACTGCGTCACAGTGGCGTAGCGAGGTCGGGTGTTACCCGGTGCGGCACTTAATGGCGTCACCCCCCAGAGGCGTAGCGACAAACTTACAATTTTCGATTTGCACCCCCCCCCCCCCCTCAAACTTTCGATTTGCACCTCTTAAAAGACTATTTAAGACTCGGATTAATCACTTAATTAAATGGAATTATCATTTTTCTCTATATATTTTGCTAATTTTTGCCTTAGTGTCACCCCCCCCCCTACATGGTGTCACCCGGTGCGGTCCGCAGCCCCCGCCCCCCTCGTTACGCCTCTGCTACGTCCTTTTAAAAAGACACGTTTTTACCCTATACATTAATAATATACGTAGACTTAAAGATAAATCTTAAAGTATTTTAATGCGAAGGAGCAGTTTTCATTTAATAAACGGAGATTAAAATTAAAATCTTTAAATATTGTTAAATTTCGACACTGCTTTCATGTAGAGTAGAGCAATGCAGCTAACAAAGTCTCACACGTAGGGGCGGCAACTGTGTGTTCTGTTTCCTAAGGTAGTTGTTCCTTCCCTTGATACGTTTCTGTAAATTATTAATGCGGTCGAAACATTCAAAGTAACCAATCTTCTTTTGAAACCTGGGAAATTTAGATGTTCGCAACCTTTTAGGTTCGTCTTTTTGGCCGGCTTGAGGTGTTGGGTGCGGTCAAATGTCAACTCTTTATCATCTTTTATTATTATTGTTATTACTACTACTACTACTTCTGCTACTTTTACTTTTACCATTATTACTATTATTAATATTGCTGTTCTACTAAAGGTGTATAACAAAATAAACAGTTGTTAAACCATTAAACAATTTTTTTAAACTGAAGTTAAAAAGAAGATGAGTTGAGGAAAACTGGCCAGAGAAATGGAATGACTTGTGCCTAATTTCCAAATCACGCGATAGTTCTTAAACTATTTTTATTAAAACCGTTATTTTAAGTAACTGCGTTTTAAGATTAAAATTTTTTAAATTGATTTCGAAATATGACCGGTTGATAATCTATGACCCCTGAACCGTAACCTTTCAATGGAAACTAAAACTACTTCAGTATTTTGTAATCGTTGCAGTTTGATTGCTGGCTACTTAGTTCATGGCGACGGAAGAATTTCGGACTAAAGATTTGTGCGTGCATTGCGATATCTAATCGCGAAAAATAAAAATGCGACGTCATTAAGCGTGAATGATAACAGTTTGATAAGAAAGTGTAAAACAGATTAACAAGAAATACAAAAAAAAAGTTTGTGTGTGGATTACAGTAATGTGTGTGTTGATAGAACATGAGAATCATTTACTTACGTGTATGTTGCTATGGACTGATAGACTTATATGTTTTGTTTACTTGGGGTTATCCTTTCAGGAAGTTCGTGGTTTTAGTACGGTAATCTTATCGGTGCCTGGGTTCGATCACAAGGCTCCCCCCCCCCCTACTGCACACACAGGCACGTACACGCGTACACACACACACACACAATAACAAAAAACTATATTTAAACCGGGTTGGGACATGCTGTGTGATCGAAATGTTCGATTCTTCGTTCCGTTGAGGTCCATCCGCGGAGTGAGTATTGGAGTCGGTGCGTCCGTAAATGAGACATGGGGGGGGGGGGGGGGTCGGAGCATAGAGCAACTTTTTTTTTTTTTTTTGGGTAGACAACACTTGACTACATCTACCCTCCCGTTATTTTTTAAGAAACAGAAAAGGTTATATTTTCTCTTGTTGGAAACTAATATTATCATCGTCGTCATCATCTTCTCCCGAGACACATGGGGCAGATGAAGTAGAGCTCATCTGTTTCAGAGATCTCGGCATATGGAGGCATAGTGTGGTCAGCACTATGCCCAGAGTCCTTTACTTTCCCTGACAAGAGTTAGGTACCCATCAGAGCTGGATGGACTCAGGGACGGTCCACTGACAGATTTTATTAAATAATTTTTGTGGGACTTTATCTTTGTTTTAAAACACATGGTGCTCGATGTGGAAACTTTCTTCGGGCTAAACATGTTTTGGATTTAGAGCGTTTGTCTGAACACCGACGCCTCTGTATTTGTGAAAGGTAACGCTCTTCAAACTTGGCAACAGGGTAAACTAAGAAACATTCACCTGTTTCTGAGACTTCGACATATGAAGTAAAAGTATGGTCAGTCCTGCACCAAGCCTTTAAGACTTTTTCCAGCTAGAGTTAAATGCCAATTAAAGCTAATAGGTGGACTCACAGACATCCGACGACCTCGAGTTCGGAAGTCAAACTAGTAAAACACGCTAACATAATTCCTAATGAAATTTTAGAACAAAACTTGATGACCGTTAACAAAACGTGAAAGTAAAAAAAAAAAACATTAAAATTAAAAGACTTTACAGTAACGTACATAGTAAAAAAAATTCTCAACACTAAAAAATATTAGCAGAATAAATGATCGACAATGTGTTTTTTATGTTTTAATTTTATTCTAGATTAATTATATCGAATTAAATTTCATAATTTTATAAACAGCGCATTTGAAAATATATAGATAATTACTAACACAATTTATTACAGCTGTTTAGCATAGTTTTATTCTAAATTAAACTTCCAAGTTGATGTTAAAATCAGCCAATCAAAGCATTCAAATTATCGGTAACTTTTCAAGACACCGCTTATGCAATCAACCCGCGACCAACACACCATCAACCCAACAATCAACACACCAGCATCATGATGTTAACACACCACCAACACACAACCAAATAAGGACAATGAACACACCACCCGTATGCTATCAACACACCACCAAAAGATTAAACACACTGGTAATGTTTAACCATCAACATGCTAGCAACATACTATCAACATATCAACATATCACCAATATACCACATACACACCTACAACATGCAACCATCTTCATACTATCAACACGTTTCCTAGGCACAATATATATGTCAACAACACATCATCAACATACCATTAACATACATCTAATGTACCTACAACCATGAATCACCCACAACTCCATCACCACATACTCGAAATACATATATGTCATCAACATATCAACATACCACTAATATAAATATAACGTACGTACAACCACGAAATCCCCATAACGCCATCACCACACTACTACTACCACATCATCACTACCACCATAGCAGCATCAACACGTCAGTCTATATCTTGAACCTCCCTCGCCTCCTACACTATCCATAACGCCATCACCACACTACTACCACCACACCATCACCACCACCACCACCACCGCACCAGCAGCGCGTCAGTCTATCTCTTGAATCTCCCGCGCCTCCTGCACCAAAGAGCACCACGGGCAGCACAGCACGGTTAAGAAATCCCCCCAGATGCTGCCGGAGATTTCCTGCTCCACCCTCACGTCTTGTCGGATGATGGCCTGCACGTAGCAGGAGGCGGGCGTCAGACACAGGAAGCCGTAGCAGCAGCAGTCTCGCTCGGTGGCCTCGGCTAGTTTGCCGAACAGGTAGCACGGGCAGCAGAGTGCCAGCACAGTTTTGCTGACACTCCGGAAGCAGCTGAACAACCCAACATCCCAGGTTCCGATGGAGGGTTCAGGAGGATAGGGCTGGAAGAGTTGCATTCATTAAAAAAAATCACGCGCTGATTTCGTTATGGTTAAGTAGAAAAATTTGAATAGACGATTAACTATATAAAGTATGGTAGAAAAGGGGTGTATAGGTTTTTGTTTAATTGACTAGGAAAGCTGCACTGTAAACACTAACCTTTGCCCCTAATACACCTAACGATATATATATATATATATATATATATATATATATATATATATATATATATATATATATATATATATATATATATATATATATATATATATATATATATATATATATACATATATGGTAAGCTGCATGTTCATATTTCTTAAAGACTAATCTGCTCACATCACGAACATTTTCTTTTATGTAGTTTACCCAAAAATTAAACAAGGTTTAAGTTTATAGGTATCATTATCATTTCCCGTTCGTGCACAAGATACATGGGGCAGATGAAACAGAGTTTATCTGCTTCAGTTATAAATGTTTATAGGTATATAATGCATCAAACTGAAGATTTTTTTTTAATTTTAGAGGTCTTAACTATGTAAGGCATAAAATTAACTATTTATTTAACTAGGCTTAAGATCCGAAGATTTTAAAACATAAAATCAATCTAACAACACGAATGTAAAAAAACACCAAAAAAAATTTAAGGCCAACATTTTATAATGGACATCAACGAATAAAATCGAGTAAAGTCCGACAAATGTCAGATTTTATTAACCACATATATTCTAATAACTAATAACATCGTACATTATTTCTAAAATATTTAATGGACCTTTCGAATAATTTCGAGACAATTCTCGTTGGCGTCCATTAAGGTTTAAGATTTAATTAAGTAAATGAACAAAACCATGTTTTGCTACAGATATTTTTTTGTATATTTAAATAAAGGTTACGTCTCAAGAGACGAAATCGACAAAAGAAAATTTCTTCCGCATCCACATCGATAAAAGATATTCTAGATCAGATGCGTCGCGAGGCGGGGGCGGGGAGTGCGGAACGCACCGTGTGACACCATTTGGGGGGGGGGGGGGGGGGCGGACATCAAGACAAAAAAAAATGCAAGATATGTTATTTTTAATATTTTTGCCAGTTCAATGCATGGTTAATTAGAGTTTAAAAGTATTTTAAGTACATAATGACGATCACGAAAAGAGAGGGGGTGGGGTGACAGCATGACGTAACCTGCAAACTATATAGAAAACAATGCTACACCCAGTCGCAATAACAACCGATTATAGATAAAAATCATTTGATTAAATGTGAACACTCTAAAGAGTCTAAAGCTTTTACCGGGGGGGGGGGGGGGTGATACCAACTGCAAAATTTACAGGAAAAAAATGGGGGACACACACACAGACACAACATGAGGTGCCGCACCGGGTGACACCCGACCTAGCCACTGTTCTAGATATAAGGATCAAGATCAAAAATTAAAATCAAGATTTTAAAAATACTAGATCTATATCTAGCTAGTTATCTAGATCTAGATCCTAGATTAATAGATCTATAACGATAAACGATGCATGATAAAACGTGAATACATTGAACTAATAGAAGACTAAGATTGTTTACCGATTTCTTGCTAAATACATTTTTAACTTTGCTGCATATAGTCATTATCTAAGTGTTGACCGTACGACTTGTGTTTGGGGCATCTCTTGGTGTACTACATCTTGACCCGCTGAACGAACTCATATTTCTTGTACTCATTTCCCCATTATTTGTTTTTAATTCCACAAACCGGAAGTTACATAAAATATGCATCAAATCTAATGCGTACTGTACCGATGTTTACTAGTGCGAAGAGTCTTTTATCGGAAATTCCCACCAAAACAGGGCTAAAAGCACGTAAAGATGTTGCACAAACTAGCGTGGGATGAAGGTGTGTGTTTTCTATCCTAGCGTGTATTTAATTAAATATTGTTTACGTTTTAGCTGCTAACAAAAATATGTCCTAAAAGAATGCTTCGCGATCTTGCCGACAGACCCACATAGACATACATGGGATTACGACAAATGCTCAAAAGACAATTGATGGGCACATGTCGCATTTGTCGCTTCAAACAAAGGCCCGGCTCCCCCCCCCCCCCCCCCCACACACATCTATATATATAATTCTCTTCTGGGATCAGTTAGAAAACAAGCTGCAAGCGCGCCTTTGCAGTCCCCTCTCTTCCTCTCTATCACTATCACTACCACCCCCACCCCACCCCCACATGATCTGGTGAGCGGTGTTCACTCTGTTTACATTTTACAAACATAGAGACGGGTTTGGTGACGGCTATTAGGAGCAGATAATTTAGTTTGAAACGATTTTAAACTTAGAGGAGGTAACTAAGAGGAGGCTGCTTTCACGTGGGGGGTGGGGGGTTAGTGTTTTTAAGCAAATATTTTCAATGGCAGCATTGGTACTGTCGAATTCACAAATTATAAATTACTGAAAAGTAGAAAAAAAAAACTAAATAGCGGCGTATGATACGCAGCGGGTCGGCTCGTATAATATAATTCAATTATTTAGGGGTGGGGGGGGGGTGATACAGTGGATCTAAAATCCACCCAATTTGCTTCTTACTTGCGGGATTATTCGTTTCACAGGCCTGAGCTTTATTCTTTGACAAAACTAGTTCACACCTTGGGTCGACTGTCTATTAGAAAACATTGCAAGCTTCATTCGCCGACTTGATGATTAAGTGGAACAGCATACTTGTTCGATTTTCGTGGAATTAAATCTTGATCACTTTCACGTTTTAGAATCAATTCTTTGACAAATTTGTCGTTGTTTTGCAATCTATTATCACATACGACAACATTTGCGTGATATCACTCTCACATTTTATTTCGTTGTGTGTTTATTTTATACAGGTTATGGAGATAAGTTTTGGAGATATCTATATTTAGTTACTGGGCATTCTATTCTTTTTTTTAAACAGAGTAGCCGTTCCTTGACTTTTAATACAAAGCGTAGAATCTCCTACAGTCCTACTTGATAATTTTTTTTTTAATGTGTCTTATTTAAAATGAAAAAAGGCAACAAGTCGAGAATACTTGATTTCTTTATAACGATAAAAAAGAAAAACAGAAAGGCCTATAGTTTTGCTGCTGTTATTAACGCTATGTTAAGTAACTCGATAGAGTTAAATAGAGTTACCGTTCTTTGAGCTTGACATGGCAAAGAATATCCTCATCTTTATAATAATCTTTGTTGTGTATGTGCGTAACGATGTAAAACGAATTCGTCTTATTCTTATTTTTTAAATAATCACTCCAAGACAAGGTATTATACGAGATAAAAAATATAAATTTATTTGCAAGAATACTAAAAATATTTTAAAAGTAAATCATATAGAAAAAACAGTTACAGTTTTGCTAATAGTAAGGCACTTTAAGAGTTACGGTGTATGCGGGTGACAACACTCTCGGGAAAAATATCCGTGCTGCTATCATAACATAAACAATATAAGCAATTTTATTTCGATGGAGCATTACAAATACATAAGCAAAGTGAAAACAACCCTAGTTAGAAAACATAGAAAACAAGCAGTTATGGACAAAGCGGGTTGTATGAAAAAACTAGACGAAAATTCACGTAAGTTTTACCTAAAATGCGAGTTTTAAATTAAACATTTTATATGTTTATGGTGCAAAAAATGCGAAATGAAAATTTGTGCTTAAGGGTTAAATGAGCAAAAGGCATATTGAGTCAAATATATATTAACTAGAGTGCTAAAATGTATTTTTTAAATTGCTAAGAATACTAATTCCACACGGCTTGTTCTGTTATTTAACAAGAGTGGATCTAGTTTTTAGAAATGTGTGCATTCGAACGTAAACACGTTAAAACAGAACAAATAATGAGTGTGTAATTTGCATAAGCACCGGTTAGGTGTTAACATTTTTAAGAGTTGTTTTTTTTTTTTCTAAAAAAAAAATTAGTTAGGCCTATATAAGACGTCATGATTTTAGGATGAAAATTGATACATATATTTGTAACACGTTGATACACTTCACATAAATAGTTGCTTTTTTAAAAAAAGAAGCTACAAATGTCCATATGATATGCTGCAATTTCAAATAAATAATACTATTTTTTAAAATAAACGTTAAATGTCATAAAAATACTTTTTTTACCATATACTTTGTTTTAAAAATGCTAGACGTTAAAGTAAAATATTTTTTTATGTTGAGATTTTGAATACATTTTACAATTAATTTTTCTAAATGTTAATTTTGTATTTTTTCCACAGTAGTTTCCCTTTAGATATTTAACACAGTTGTGTCCCCTAGATAAATAAATGATGTATTATTTTAAAAGTAACCTAAGTACGGGCCATCGCCTGTCCACCTGGTGCTTGAACTTCTTGAGCCTCCTGCACCAGAGCACACAAATGACAGCACAGGATGGACAACAAGTCTGTCAAAATGTTGCCCTCGATGTTCCGAGACTCTCGAATCTTCCCGCGCACCGAGACGAGAGCGACGATGTCGACGATGGGGACGAAGTAGATGAGGCCACAGAGAAGGCAGGAGTCGCCCACGGCCTCGGCGTTCTTGCCGAAGGTGTAGCAGGGCACGAAGTAGGTGATCAGGCACAGGCCGATGTTGTCGAAGCAGCCGAAGAGACCGTGTTGGAAGTTGGCCATGGTAGGTGTTGTGGGTTAGGGTGTGGTCGTGGGTTAGGGTGGGGTCGTTAGCTGTAGGGAGACGATGGCTGATGTCACTGGCTGGCTAGTAGAACGGAGCCTTGAAAACCCTGCGAAGGGAAACAAAAGAGGACAAATTAGACAAGTTAACCACAAGATGTAGTCCTATCATGGTAAAATGCGAAGCGCGAAATGGTAAAATAGTAAAATGCGAAACGCGAAAAATTGAATGGTAAAATGCGAGAATTGTGAGTTATTACTTCGTTGCAATTTACCCCATATCATTTAGTATGCTGCTGTCTGGTAAAATGCGGAGATGTCAGCGAAAACGTTACCGCAATTGATTTTAACATGTTAAATATTGTTCAACATCTGCTTTAAAATTCAACAGATTTGAACGACAACTCTTAGTTTTTTTGTTAGTATTGTTTGTAAGGGTGTATAATAATGTGTAATCACTTCCCCCAACTTAGGCGAGGTACCCACCTGAGCTGAGAGAACGCAGGAATATCCTACCACCAGACTACGTCGTCTCATTGAGAATAATTAAAATATAAATAAATGATTAAATTATATTCTAGCTGGTCCAAACTCCCCACTATAGGGAAAAAAAACAGACCTCCATATACATCTAAAACAACACCCTATACCACAGGAGATCTCCCAGTTTTATTCAAATTTATTTCACTCTGTTTACATAACCACCGCCGCGTGAAAAACTCAAGATGGAAAGATGGTAGGGGTGAGGGCGGGGGGCGGGGGCTGAATAATTAGCATTTAATTACCTGGCGTTTAAAATATTCAGGCCAGCGTGTAGGTGTAGGTGGATAGGGTAAGCTGTATTTGCTAAACCGGGTATGGCTTGCACGCTGTACCTGTATTTAAGAATTTCAAAGTGGGTCGGCGTGGACGGGTTGATAAAGCTCTTCGGGTTTGGGGTTCACTCTTTAAGGAAAGAAAACTCAACACAAAAAAAAACAGTCGACGGTGCACAACAAGTTGACACGTAATACTTAATTGTGTTGGATTAAAATTCCGTTCCAACATTTACAAATAAGAACAAACAAAAGAAGAAAAAAACATTTTAAATATTGCCATCTGAACCTATGATCTTACTACGAAGTTTTATCTTCTCATTTCCATAAGATAGTGCTTAAATGTTTATACTGAATACGAATTCCATGACCCATGACTTTAAGATGCAAGTGGATGGGTGGATGGGGGGGGGGGGGGGCGAATGTTTGTCCGCGTTAAGCGTGTTGAACGCTTTAAGAATGGCAAAGGGAATTTGTTTGCATGACCTCTGCGTACTTTTACCCAGTACCCCACTCAACAGACCCCTCCACCCCTACTCCCCAAATCTGAAACAGTAAGCACTTTTAAGAGAGAAAATAAAATAGTATAAAATAATATAAAAATAAATCTGCTTTAGTATTAATTCGTGATTGGCTAACTGATGTTAAAGGTTATGTTGAAAAATGTACGTTAAATCACTTGTCCTCATGAGTAACCAAACTGTGTGGTATATAAATTAATAAAATAGTCATGTGTTTAAATAAAAGTCAACAAGACTGGTTATTGTTGGCTACATTTAGTCACTGTGACTAATTAAATTAATGGAGGTGAGGCGCATGGTGAGGTGGGGCAGATCCGGTGAGGTGGGTCAGACCAGTTGAGGTGGGGCAGACACGGCGAGGTGGGGCAGACATGGTGAGGTGGGGCAGATCTTGTGAGGTGGGGCAGACACAATGAGGTGGGGCAGACACGGTGAGGTGAGGCAGACACGGTGAGGTGGGTCAGACACGGTGATGTGGGGCAGATCTGGTGGGTGGGGCAGACACAATGAGGTGGGGCAGACACGGTGAGGTGAGGCAGACACGGTGAGGTGGGTCAGACACGGTGAGGTGGGTCAGACACGGTGAGGTGGGGCAGACACGGTGAGGTGGGGCAGACACGGTGAGGTGGGGCAGACACGGTGAGGTGGGGCAGACACGGTGAGGTGGGGCAGACACGGTGAGGTGGGGGAGACACGGTGAGGTGGGGCAGACACGGTGAGGTGGGGCAGACACGGTGAGGTGGGGCAGACACGGTGAGGTGGGGGAGACAAGGTGAGGTGGGGCAGATGGTGAGGTGGGGGAGACAAGGTGAGGTGGGGGAGACAAGGTGAGGTGGGGCAGATGGTTAGGTGGGGGAGACACGGTGAGGTGGGGGAGACACGGTGAGGTGGGGCAGACACGGTGAGGTGGGGGAGACAAGGTGAGGTGGGGCAGATGGTGAGGTGGGGGAGACACGGTGAGGTGGGGGAGACAAGGTGAGGTGGGGCAGATGGTGAGGTGGGGCAGACACGGTGAGGTGGGGGAGACAAGGTGAGGTGGGGCAGATGGTGAGGTGGGGGAGACACGGTGAGGTGGGTCAGACCAAGTGAGGTGGGACACCCGTTGAGGTGGGGGAGACACGGTGAGGTGGGGGAGACACGGTGAGGTGGGACACCCGTTGAGGTGGGACACGCGATGATGTGTGACAGGCCTGGTGAGGTTAGGAGAAGTGGTGGGTGGGGGGGGGGGGCATTGTTGCCAGCAGGACATTGACAAGCGGGGTCACTCGGTCAGTCAAAGCCTTGTCATCAAATTCTACTCGACTCATGGCTGCCCACATATATTCTAAAGCAAGCCAGCAATTCTAAATTATTGAATTAGTTTCAAGATATATCTCTTAGTACCCACTAGCTAATAGTGAAGTTTTCCTAAGGGCTGGGTTGTGTGTGAATACCACCCTCTCCCCCTCTCACACACTAAGCCAAAGTAATGTTAGCGTTCGTGCTTAAACCCAGGTCAACGTGTTCTCTATAAACTATTGCAACATGCCTTCAAAACTTACAACCTGCGCTATACAGTGTTGTGTAATCACATATGAGAATATAAATAACATACACTGACATAGTTAACAGCGTGGGTTAAAGATATGTTTAATGTCTGCTTCCCTTATCTACAAATACCCGGTAAGATAAAAAAAAATTTCCTTGAACATGTTAAAACCACAAACCTAGACGCCTATCTCATATGGGGGGGGGTACTTTTTTGGTTTGATTTATACTCAATTGCAACGAAATTTCAACCGAAATTTCCACCAATAAATTTAATCGAAAAAAAAAACTACTTAAAAATACAAAGTAAGGTTGTTTTTTTTATTAATATCAACACACATAGAAGCCAATCCCATTGGGAGGGGGGTGGGTAATTTTATTTTTGATTTACAATCGATTGCAACGAAATTTCCGACAATAAATTTAATCGAAAAAAAAACTATTAAAAACTAGTTTTTATCAATAGATTTAAACTTTAAGTAGTAGCTTCCTCTTTCGGATTCACCAATAAATGTAATCGAAAAAAAATAATAAACTACTGTTTTTGTTTCTGAGTTTTAACTTCCTGTTACGGATTCTAGTTACAACAGTCAACAAACTATTTTACCATAGTAAAGATTGATAAACAAAAAAAGGTTTTTGTCTTGATAAGAATGCAAGTCCGAACTTATGTTTCGCAATGTCTTTGAAAACGTTAGGTGCAACAACTACAACTACAGGGCAAGTCTACGAGAAAGGGATGTTAGTTAATTCCCTTTAAAGTTAGTTGTTATGAATGTGCCCAAATCACATCAATCAACCAGGTAGCTTATTAGTTTGTAATTAAATTCCTAGGACGTGGGTCTACCAGATTGTTAAAGAAAAGAGCCCCTTATTAAATTATCGTATAACTGCAGAAAATATAAAGCTGGGTGGGTGGGATATTCTGGGGATTGGGATAATCAGGAGTGTGTGGGTTGGGATAATCAGGAGTGTGTGGATTGGGATAATCAGGAGTGTGTGGGTCTGGGGTCGTGTGTGAGGACTAATTATGACCTACGGTACTCCGAGTTAGCGGTCACAAGTAAGGGTGGTATAGTAGTGGTTTTGTTAGCTACAAAGGGTGGTATAGCAGCCATTAATATGGTGGTTTTGGAGCTACAAGTAGGAGTGGTATAGTAGCCATAAATATTGTGGTTTTTTAGCTACAATGAGTAGTAGAATAGCCATAAACATGGTGTTTTTGGAGCTACAAAGGGTGGTATAGCAGCCATTAATATGGTGGTTTTGGAGCTACAAGTAGGAGTGGTATAGTAGCCATAAATATTGTGTTTTTTTAGCTACAATGAGTAGTAGAATAGCTATAAATATGGTGGTTTTGGAGCTACAATTAGGGGAGGGGGGATAGTAGCCATAAACATGGTGGTGTTGGAGCTACAAAGGGTGGTATAGCAGCCATAAATATGGTGGTTTTGGAGCTACAAGTAGGAGTGGTATAGTAGCAATAAATATGGTGGTTTTTAAGCTACGATGAGTAGTATAATAGCTATAAATATGGTGGTTTTGGGGCTACAATTAGGGGGGCGGGATAGTAGCCATAAACATGGTGGTTTTGGAGCTACAAAGGGTGGTATAATAGCAATTAATATGGATAGGGGTTGGTATATAGCCATAAATATGGTGGCTTTGGAGCCACATATAGGGGTGGTATAGTAGCCATGAATTTGGTTTTTTAGACACAAGGTAAGTTAATAGTAGAGTTAATAAGTAGAGCGGATTTAGGAGACAGGACGGGCGGCACATTAGATAAGCAAGTAGTTTTGGTTAGCACTGAAGCTGTTGTACATACACCTCTAAAGTTTAACAAGTTACTGTGTTTTAAGGACCGTATTCTTCATTTAAACACCATTCTGAGACATCAAACTGCGCGTTTCTGCCAGTTGTCCTAAACTTTTAAATCTAACAGCAAAGAGACCAAATGGAATAATTTAAAAAACCTAACCACTTAAAGCGACGCTGTTGTAAAAACCACTTCCCTCTTCATTAAAAACTGTGTCTACTTTTAAAAAAAAAATTAAGAACTGTTGGAAAAAACTGCGTGTCTGCTCTAAAAATAGCCTCTCTTGACGAAGTAACGTGGCCGTGTGCTTGTTGGTCACACATCAAGGCAAGTAGGTTGGTCGACACGCCTTCACAAAACTTCATTACGTGAACA